CGAAAAAACATGAATATAGGCAAACAAGTAAAATTGTATTGTTAATTTTATAATCACTGATTTTCTTTGAATTAATTTTTCGATGAACACTCAATCAGCTTTAACATAGTCTTTTTTACTAACTTATATTAACTAATAAAGAATCCTTAATGTGTTTCGTTGTAGCAACTGGATTCCTCAGCAAATGCCATCCAACGCATACTGTAGTGAGTGCCACTTATATGGACAGATACAAGCAGTAGGCATTAAGAATTGGAAGTAGTATTCTTACTGACAGAAAAAGAAAATGAAGAGAAAAGACAGAAAAAGCAAAACAGTTTTAGTAGTAACAGAGAGGAATGAGTAACGGAACTTGTAAACGACAATCCAAGGAAGATGTGCAAATGGTTTACTGAATGTATCATTTTCACATTTTACAAATGACGTGTAATTTCATTTATCCCAACAATGTTTTAGTACATCATTTTATTAATTAATGTATCAAACTATCTTCAAATTGTTTCACTGTTACTCTTAACAAGCAACACTGTATCATCCTGTTACTACAGTGTATATTCTTATCAATTCTTAAAAAAAAGAATTACTTGAACAACTCAAATTATAATTTATCACGTAAATGTTAGAAGAATTAAACTCATATGATACTTAACTCAATTACTGGTATAAAGAATAATCATGAGAATAATTATTTTTTAATTTTAAAAATAAAATTCTCATTATCTGAATGGGTTCAATTTTTCATTAGTAATGGTAAAAAAGTGTATCTTTTTAAAAAGGTATCGAGTGACCTTACGATGTCTTATATTCTTATAAAATACACTAACCAATACACTAATTTTGTGAATCAGAGTATACTCATCATTTAAATTTCTATTGACAATGTAAAGTTTATCACTCATCACAGTAAATTTGATAAAAAAACACTATCATATTGTAGGGTCAGAGAAATAATACTGAACCCTACCCAAATTATCAGTCAGGCTGAATGTATAACAAATTCTAAAGACTGATCACTGGATTTCGTCAAGATCAAAGATGTCCTGTGTTATACAATGAACACATGCATTATAATGGCCGCCTCATGTACAGTACCTTTCTTTAATTTGATCTGTTGAGTATATAACATTCTTTCCAATAAAACCTTAACGGTTCTTGAAATGTTTTGAAGTAGGAAGGCCTTGATACCAGGTTAAGTTGGGTCAGGCTAAGAGTTCATTGGATGCCATGACTTTGATGTAGAACTATTTATGTTAGAAAGTCACATCATTCCCGTTCAACCCTAGTGGATGTGAACTGCAGGCCAAACGAGACAAGCAACAGCATTACATCAATCATAGTCCGACATCTACAATACTTTCATACAGTTCAGCTAAAATTTCCTTTTAGCAATTGAGAAGAATAATGGTGTTGAATATATTCTTCCGATACAATCTAACTGAAATCATTTACTCTGTTTACACATTGCTATTTAAAAGTGAATTTCCTGTTTCTCAAATGAGCTATTTGGGATTGACTGCCCACCGAAATGACTAGCATATTTGTACCAATGTATCACTGATCAGTGACCAATATCAAGGAGCAAAGGTTCCCTAGAGATTTTAGGTACACCTTGCTGATGAGTGCTAACTAGTAAGAAACCTACGTCCAGAGTTTCCGTCCAAATACCTCTAACTAGCTAAAATGTTTATAAGATGCATTGTTTTGTTCTATCATTTTGAAAATGGTGTAAACACCAAAAGAGTCTAGTCAGTTGATCTACTATGTCTCTAATGTAAATAACTCACAGCCTAGTTTTACAGTTCCTTTGATTTAACTGTTGAACTTACCGAGTGACCAGTCTCTGTTGATTAGTAATAAGATCCAGGACAGTTCTCAATTAATTTACTCAACCTTGCGATATGTCTAAAGCAGTTGAAAACTCAAATTAACATGACCCAGAACCTTTTTTCCCAAATAGTGAAAGGTGCTATAAAATCCAACGACTTATCACAAACTAATCTACGATAAAAGACCTATTCACATGGATTTTACTGAATAGGTGTTAGGAAGAAATGATTAAATAACTCAGTAAATTCGTTATATTTGTTGATTGTACTGGTTTAATATTATGATATATTAAATTGTACTCATCAATTAAATTATTGATTAATTAATAACAAGTACTTTTCAGTTTAATTTGTCCATAATCCCACTACCAACCGGTTTAAGTAAATTATGTATCATTGTATTCATATAAGACTTTTTAATCAGTTTTAGGTGTCGAATAAATCACCATCATCTTTGTCTTTTACCTTGTTTTGAACAATATCTCCGTTTTTCAGTTTACTTATCATACAAACAAGTTCATTAGGACAAACCAATCTGATCAAGATTAGTTAAAAATCTTACTCCTCTTTAAAGCAGGTGCTGTTGTCTAAATCAATTAATACAACCAACCCAGAGAGCGCAAATCAGCTACAATCATAATTAGAAGCATTTATTAACATATAACCGATCAGGCTATGAAGAGATTTTGAATCAATTACTTATTCGTTCTAAGTATCACTGAGTTTCAACGTAGTTTAACCGCTTAGACTGCACATTTGTGAATAAACTATCAGAAAAATTAGACAGAACGTTTCAACAAAAAGCTTAATAAATTGAATTTATAACGTACTATTGAAATGTCCAGTACTAATTTGGAATGAACAGGCACTGGATTTACTTAGCTGTCTTCCTCACTATCAATATTCTTAGGAACATTATAAAAAGACTAGTTGCATAATTCAAATACTCAAGAATATCGAAATAAATGAGCCACTAGATTTGTACGATTTGAAACTGATATGAAGAGTAAGAGATTAGTTAATTTCAATGCGAATGACATAAAAAGATTGATCTTTTTTCCAATCAAATGACATGTATCCATATCTTAAGAAGGATTATATATGCTTAATTGTTTAATAAGATAAATGTGTTCACATCGTAAGTTATAGAATTCTTATTATCAAATGTAACTTAGTTCAATTGGAAAAATCTAACTGTGAACAAATCATTTAAAACATGGTGTATTCCTAAATCGTTTTGATTTATTTTAGCAGTCGAATAAATCATCACCGGTGTTCATGCCTTTTCTCTTGTGTTCAGGTTATAGTATAGATTAATTCTAGGGTTTTTAAAAGCAGCTAGAAAATCGGATCCAATGTTCAGTTAGCAAACTTATCAATACCTAAAAAACGGCTTGCTAAACTTATGTCCTCGGGGTAAATAAGTTTGGTCGAGGCAGACGGTTTGTTACAATATAAGGCTGTGACTATGTTCTTGATAAGTTATGAAGTTGAAACTCAGTAGGACAGTGTGAATTCAAATGTTCTGCTTTCTTGTTTAAATTTAATAACCGTCATAAAATAAAAATAGAACATTGACTGAAACGAAAGAAATCGATATACATTTTGTAAACATATATACTTATCTTTTCAGTTCATTATCATTATTATTGTAATCAATATCGTCCTGAAAAAAATAAGTATGTATATTTGCGATTGTACAGCTTTGAAAATGAATTCGCCAAAAAGAGAACTCTTCGCTGAACCGATCTTTCTTATTTAATGTTCTACTTAATGGGTGTATTTGGTTTACAAATTTAGTATTCGAGTAATATGATGTATAGTGTTAGATAGTCAAAAACAATTGACCAGAAGAGATATATGTGCTTCAGGATTACGTTACAACCACAATCGAAGACAATAGCAATAAAATGACCGAACAGTGATAGATTATCGTGAAAGCTGATTTTAACTGAACAATAAGTGCGAACTAGCCAACAGTACTTTATTATATTAAAACGCAGTATTACATGCAACACTTAAATACGTTTGAATTAATGGATAATAACCTCACTGAAACTGTAAGATGCCATTCATTTTCGAAATTCGTTGAAGATGCAGCTAAACAGTACAGCGGAACTAGCAGTTATTCTTCAAAACTTTGCAACTTTTCCTAATAAAAACCATCTTCTGCTACGATATTAACCGATGAAACACAGTTAACATCAATCCTGAGCTATTCATCATACAAAACAAAAAGTTGTGTAATTCTAATCCATTTGCTTATTTTATTTCTAATTTTTTATAAGATACGGGCACTGAAAAATAAGTTTGTGAGCAGCATTCTTTTTAAAAAAGCGATACTTCCAAAGTGAAACATGAACACGAAAACAGAAGTTGACATGAGAAAGTGTAACAGGCGTAATTACCGAAAAATACGTACTTTAAAATAGATAATGATAATAGTAATAGAAATAATAATACTAGTAGTGTTTTCAGTGTATTTTGAGAAACCGGTAATAATCATGTCAAGGACATTTGGAAATAAACAATTGTTTGAATATCGGTCAACTATTATTATAACTGTTATTGACAGTAGTGAGATTGTACATCTGTACACACACACACACAATATATATATATATATATATATATATATATATAAATAAAATAGCATTGACCAATTGAATGTCTGGGTGGTGAACACAAATAATAAAATTGTTCGACAGTTTTCTGTCATAAACTCATACTGACCGCCAGAATTAGTGCATACTTGTACAGATGATGTAGGCAAATGTTGATTTCATGAAATAAACATTCTGTGCTATGCTTTAATCCTACCACAAGACAACCTGAGGACTGTATTTTTTAGATTAGACCAAAATTTCGTGCACAAAAATAGAACAATCTGCGTCTTCTCATTATTCTAAGATTGAGGTTGATGTGTGTAAAAATGAGACCAGTGTGAATTGATCATAAAACACTAATGAAAGAATTATTTATCCCTTTTAAAAGACAGGAAAGTTTCAATCCAATATAAGGAATAATTGGTGAATAAAACTATTGAGCATATATATATATATATATATATATATATATATATATATATATATATATCCGTTGTTCGTATTTCCCTTAGTAGTAATAATTTCACGGTCGTTTATTCATTAAGGTGGACTCATGAAAACAAAAACAAAACAGTTTATTCTTTATTGAAAATAAAAGGCAAAATACTAAACTAATACCTTCTAAAATAATAATAATAACAATGACCTGTTCCTTGCTGAAACGAGAAACAACCGCAAACAATAACACAGAAAACAACGCTTTTTACATACGTGCACAACTGTATACAAACACGTAGTCATATGCATAAATAAGTAACAAAACATACTTATTGGTTACGTTAGAATAAATAGGCATAGGTATTGTATGTGTGTGTGTCAAAAATGGAAAGAGATAAGAAATAAATTATTTGATATATTCTGAAAATGCCATTGGAATGAAATAATTCACGATAAAATAAAAGAAAGTCTAAAGAAACCATTGAATATTTGATTAGTATATTCGAGACAAAAACAATTACAAATCTACATTTCTGTACACAGTCCTGATTATATTATATCCTACATGAACAAACACAGTAGTAATATGGTAGATAATGTCCTGGAAAAGTAAGAATATTCATAAAAATGAAATGGATAAAGAGAGAGGATATTTTAGCACATTTACAGTTGATTATCGCAACCGCCTTTGCTTAATCGATGCTGAGCAATTTCCATAATACCATTCAAATGTACTAAGGCAGCCAATACAACAAATACATGAAATATTTGATGACTTTGGAACTGAAAATATAAAGGGAAACATTGAAGAATAAAACTTTTTAAAAAATGATTCTATGATGATAACAACAGTATGAATAATACTAAAATATAATTAAGAAAAGTTGAAAAAGGGTATACATGAGAGTCAGTCATCAAATTTGCTGTTAAAGATATGAGGACACTTATCACTCCCGGTTACTTACACCATAAGACTCTTCTTTTTCGGAGATCTAAACAGGAAACTGGATTAGCGATGGCATTTAAGACGTAAGGAGTGATCCCCATTGTCCAAGGAACAATTGACTGAGGACAGTCACGCATAGCCGTTTCGTAAGTAGTTTTTTGGTGTGTCAACCCCATACTTTGAAGGCCTTAAAACAGACAACGGTTGTCTTCGGGGTAATTTGGGATGTTAATATTTGGAACGAATCTTTCTAACCTCCCGCCACTGTTGTAGAAGCCAGAATCTTTGCAGATATAGGTTGTCTGAAGAAAAAATCATACTCCCATCATTCTCTGTACAGTCGACAGTGCGATTTTGCCCTCTGATCACTGGTTCAGTGCTTTTGTTCTTACAACCTTCTAAACAACACCCCTGACGTGTTAAAACCTTAAGGAACATATATTCCAATCGATATATTGGATCATCAGAACCATTCCCAACCACCACAAAAAGGTATTAGCTACAACCGGGTGAAATATACAAAACGATAAAAGTATTTTCCAAAATAGAAAATCAGTAATGAACTTAACAGTTCTTGGCTAGGATAAGATACTTTCAAAGTTTGATATTACAGATTCCTTTACAATAAACGATTTATTGAGAAAATCTACCAACAAAGTTTAAAATAGTCCTGTCCATATTTCCCTATTCATATTCTAATAGGCCACCGACCAGGTTAAGAAACGTACTATCTTGAAATAATTACTATAGATATAACTTGCATACATTATTTACGAGCTGCATATTCGACTTCATAATCCGTCTAGAAACTATAGATCTATTCCGAAGGAATGTGACTGAATAACTCAATAGCTCAACAATAATCCACACAAAATCTGATCAAAACATTAAAGTGCTTTGCTTTATTTATCATTTGCTCTAATGAAATTGAAGTGACATGTTTGAATATGAAGATAATTAACAATGAAGTAAAATAAAACTTTATATGCTCTTTTACATTACAAGGGTTAATTTGGAGTAACTGGAATCAAACACATAATATTATATATTCGACAATGTTATTTGAAGTAGTGACTTCAGAGGAATTACTAATATTACGTTTTGGAAACTAAATACAGTGTACAGTAAAACGTGATACTGCATCTTTTTGTACAGGTCAAACGAATAATCAGTGGTTTCAACAGACAAATGTGCTACCCCATATTTAGGTTAGCTTACACTTTTTACATTCAGTCACATCACACTGGACAGCGAAGTTTACCATAATAGAGGTGTTAATATAGAGCATGTAAGATGTGCTCCAACTATCCAAGTTTAATGTAAATCCTAACACAATTATTAAACATTCGAACTACTCTATTTAAATAAATTTACTAAAATTATCCACCAAACTGTTGATGTCGGTAACTTAACAGTTAAGTGCAAAGAGCTTTTAGCTAAAACATCTCACAATACCACAAAAGAAAACAACTACTATCGTCTCATTGCAAATATTTAGACTGTCAAAAATGTATATTCGGGCTGCCACGGTGCGTACCTAAAAATGAAACAACTAAGATTTCACTATATACGCCATAGTCTTATCGATATTATTAACTAATACTTAATGTTACAATTAGTAACCAATACTAAGGACTCCAACATAGTTTCCACTTTAAGCTAACATCACCTATCAAAAGCTAATGAAAACCAGGGAAATGTTTTGTTCTACTTTGGGACCACTTTTAAAGTAGTACACATTCACAACTATGCACAGCACTCAACCTTAGGCATTCACTTTTCTCATGGTAAGCAAGATAACTTCAAACTATTGAGTCGAATTTCAATAACGCTTATGTCAAACTTCAATTACGATTAAATTACCAGTTCATAGTAGAAATCTACCTCCAGGTTTAACAGACATTTATAAATCTCTAACCTAAATATTGCCAAAAACAATGAAACAATGTTGATTTAGTGATAAATAAAACAATGAGAAGACGGAGTTGATCTGTTCAACTCCGTCTTCTCATTGCTCTATCGAAATTTATAAAAGGGACTAATTGCTTTATAAATAAAACAATTCGATAACTACAAGGGAAATAGTTCACAGTTTGCTGCTTTTGCATAAAATGTTACTTCGCATAGACATAGTGTTACAGCCTGTAAATAGGTGTGGCTAGGAACTAACAACATATTTAAAAGATGCAAAAAACTTGGTATGATTTGAAACCAGGCCTAGTTTACATTTTACATAGGAACAAAAACGTACAACAAATGGCTCTGAACGTAGAACACAATATTTACATAATAATTAGTCCGTTTTCAATCCCTCCATATCTTTTTTTTAAAGTTTGCTGCATTTGTCTTTTTTCCTTTTCCAAATAATTAAAACTTATTTTAGTTTGTAACAACATTAAAAGAACTTAGATATCTAATGAACTCACAATTAATTTCACCGGGTACTCAGTTATGACCCACACTCTAGATTTGAGGGTTAATGATACTACTCAATTGTTCAAACAGAATTAGATCGACTAATGTTCGAATTCGGGACATAATGGCTACAAGCCAAGCTCCGTAACCATTAAGCTGCCTCTCCATATGTACTTATATTGTTCCACCACAACTGCCGTTATTCGCTTACCAAAATTTGAAAATGGTGAGTGGTGAAATGAATTTATTTGATATAAACATTCGCAATCGACTCAAAACGATGTTAACGCTAGATTCTATGGAATGTTATTTTAAATCAACATATTACTTACAAGAACAATAGGTCTATCGGTTGTGCTTCATAAAATGTTTTAATGTACTTTTGAACTTGTATCATTAAATTATCAAGAAATCAATACACAACTTTAAAAAGTGCTGTGACGAAGTTTATGTAAACTGTGAGTTAGGATCTAGCTACAGAACTCCAAATCAATAATCAGTCAATCATCATCGACCCAGAGTCTAACAGATATGAGATCGCCCAAGTTATCATATCACACATCAACATGCGATGAAATTAAGATGATGAATAGCAAAAGAGATCAATATAATATAGTAGCAATGATAATCAGGAAGATCAAACATTAGGAACATGATCCGGAAAAACAGAGTAGAGACGCATATGAGGAGGGATATTAGGATTCACAATCGAGAGGAGGATAAATAACGAATGTATCTGCTCAATTTTAAACGATTTTGAGTCATATTAACTAAAATTTCCAATCACCGATCGCAGTTATTGAGGAAACACCAACAACGTAATCTAAATCTAACTGCGTGGAACAGAATACGTTGGAGTTATTTGCACTAATCGGAAACTTATAAAACATAGAATGAATCCCTTATATTTTCTTTCCACTAGCTTCTTATTGGTACGAAAACATGTCTTAATCCGGACCTTTAGTTCCCTAATATTAACGTTTTCTAAAAACTCAGATGAAATAGACAATTAAAAGTAACCTAAATACTTAATAATTAAACCAGTGGAAGGCTAAATGTGAATAATATGATTGAACTATAAACGTACGATGTCGATTAAAAGCCAAGTGTAAAGATTTTTATTTATGGATGAATTGAGTTAATATTTTTTGAAATAGTTTACTTTGAACAAGAATGTAATCGACAAACCAGAATGAAATAACTTACCCAAATATCAAATTTACCAGGATAAAGACGCTCAGGTATACGTAGTGCATAAATGGTAGCTCCCGATATATATAGTACAGCCATTAGAATAAGCCATCCAAGTGCAGAATAATGAACACCCTCCTGAAGATCTTCAATTAGAATATAATGTACACAAGGAACCACTCCCGACAGACCAAGAGCAATAAACAAAACTGAAATTTACAACGATCAGTAAGTCAACCAAACAAACAAAGTATCAATATTGAACAAAATAAACGCATGGTAATCATAACCTAATTTTCCGTGATTTATAATTACAAAGTGACGATTATCATAGTTACGCAGCCTCACTGACAAAAAACAAGAGTGCGAACAGAAGTGATTTAAGGTTAAAGTGAATAAATAGAATTTTAGAGGTACACAGAGTTTGTTATAATATTTTTGAACGTTTAAACAGTAAAATTTGAATATAAAATAATCTGGTATGGCCATGTGTAAATGACCAATCCGTGCAACTAATATTCTACACAACAAAACGTATATACTCTAGAAATAAACACTTTATCCCGGAATTGTCTATGAACAGTAAGATGTTAAAACGTATCTATCTCGAACTTCCTAGATATCGTCGACAACCAATATTTAGTTAACTAAAGTATGTAGACATATTACTCGCTGTTAAAATATCAAAATCATTGCACATGGTGTGTAAGAGTCGAGTATTGAATAAACTAAAGAATTTCATAGATATGACTTCATAGAATGTTTTTGTAATCTGTCAAAGATGCAGCTATATTTGTGCTCTTTACCAATGTATTGAAGTAAAGTTACCTGGAAATAATAGTAAATCTGATTAACTCGTTTCTAGTGAACTTAAGAGAACTTCCTTTATCATGAACTGATCTAATCAAATACTGAAACCAATAGAATAGGACATAATCCGATTTACAAATCCAAACCATTAATCAATTATTAATCAGGAAAAAGCTTTACGAATAGACATAAATAGGTTAATTAAACTCAATTCTAAGTCTTGGACCCTGTTAAGCGACTTCGTCGATCTCGATGAAGACTATAAAGCCAACATCGATTCTACGATCAAGTTTTTAATTGAAAGTTTATTCGAAAGTTAGCCTACTTCTTTAAGTCTCCCATCAATTGTTCTAATTTCTTATGATGATTGTTTAATTCAGATGCCTTTTAATTTAGTCACAAATATTTACAGTCCACTAGCATTATTTTCCCCTGATTATTAAACAATTAAATATTCCTGGCACCAATCATATTTTGTCAGGCCTTTCTAGGATGAATATCGTTACTCTGAGATAGCTCATAAACCAATTAATTGGAAACAGTTTGAGACGAAAGAAAGTGATCTCTTTAAATTAAACTGTTCTCTTCTCCAGTTTCTATTGCAAACATTGACTAATAACGTAATAGCATATTTACCTTCGATTTTGATTGGGACAAACAGAGTAAAATGTAACAAACAATTTAACCGAGAATCGATTAACAATTTCAAGTCACCGGAGAAAAGTGACAAAATACTGCCACATATGTTTTGTCAGTCTTCTCCAGTGACTTGAAACCGATCAGTACTTGATATTTTAACTATTATACAATTAAATCGCGGATACGGTATGCATACATAACTTACGTGCTCTAGCTGCACGATACGTTGGGCTAAGAAAATAATCTTGCGTGCATACAAAAGCGCAAAATCCACCAAGTATCAGCACAGCCAAAATATAAACAAGTTTGAATGAATTATAACAATAGAAAGAATAATGGATCCATGGGATAAATGACCCGATAACAAGTAATGATATTCCAACATAGTCCAATCTGCAAAAAACAATTAAAGTTATACCGTTTTTCATATAATAATACGCTTAAATATTCTATTTGTAGAAAAAGACGTTTAAATCTAGAGAGAAAGAGGATATGTAAGGTGTAACACCACACGAATTAATTTATTTAAGTGAATCGAGAGATATTTAAAACAATGTATCTAAATAAATACTGAAACTTGGTAGCATAAATGAATGAAGCTGTGCTTCAGTGATTTTGTGTTGTAACTTGGAGAAATACTAGTATGGATAATATTTATAATTGAGAAAAGATCTTCAAAAAATAAATAACATTTTACCTGATGCTCAATTTATTTGAAATTATCAAGTCTAACCTTGGTAACAAGACTTATGAACAAATACTGATATGGGTTGATGTAAGGGAATGGGTTGTAGCTGACTGACTGACTGAAGTCTAACCTTGGTAACAAGACTTATGAACAAATACTGATATGGGTTGATGTAAGAGAATGGGTTAAACTACGGATTAAAACTATATTATGCACTAACAATAATCCCACAACTGATCCAACTACTGATCGACAAGTGTATCAAGTAGTTTTTCATCATAGCTCTATACTAATATATATATGATTTACAACAACAACAACAAAATACTAATCGAATAATCGTGTAATATAATTATATAACTTTAAAGCGATCATAAAATGATATCAATTTATTAATTGAGTAATTGGAAGAAAGAGCATTATTATGGTGAAAGTAATTATCTGTAAACGTTAAAAAATTCAACTAAACAGCTACAAGACTGTATAATATATAACAAGAGAATTAGAAAAATCTTTTGATAAAAACTAAGTTTTATAGTAGCTGTGTAAGAATCAAGAGACGGATATTGAGATGTAAAAGTAAACAAAAGTGACTAAATTCGTGAACTTTTCGAATATCTTTTGAAAGAGTGAGGTTCAGCTAAAATGCGATTACATATCTGTGGTTAAGGTAGAGAGGGCGGTTGTACAAACTTCTTTTGGAATGCAAAGGTTAGGTTTGTGAACATAGATTCTGACAGCTTCAGCAGTATTTAGAAGACAAACCCGTAAATCATACGGTGATGTCCTGTGTCCACCAAGTGAACAAGAAAAGAACTTTGAACTACTCTTACCTGTTTTTTGCTAAACCAAGACGAATGACGTTCTGCTATACGAGGAGGGACTTATCGAATTGCACGTCCTATATAACTTGCTCCTCATAAGCAGTTGAATTAATAAATAATCATGGATATACAGAATTCAGGTAATCTATTTTTAGTAATGGTTCTCATTATTGGACGATTGTTCAGTTTGGCTGCAGTAAATGCTTTATGAGTAGCTTTTCTCAACCTATGCGTTACTGTTTCCTTGGTAGCACCACTTAGGAATTGTAAATTCAAGAACAGGGAAATCTTTGGAACGGCTGTTACCTCCGGTTTCATTTTTACTCAATTTACCTACTTGTACTAAGAAAGTTAAGAATAATACACAATTTATCTTTAGAGGCGTCATCAGAGCAAACCACTTTGGTACGATGAATCAGGGTCTTTACTAGGTTTCTTTTATACATGATTTGTACAGAACTATAACAATGAATATCTTGTCCGATTGCGAATTTCCTATGTATCCCTTTTACTAATCTTCCGTATAATCTCTTAAGTCGGACGTCTAAAAATGATGTGCTATTATTGTTTTCCCTTAAGCATGAACTTAGTAGATGGATGAACGTGATTAATTACAATAAGCAAACTATTCTTTATATTTTTATTTTCCATTGCTAAGAAAGTATCATATATGTAGGGACAGTTAGATGTTAGTTGACAGACAGTGTCTTTAAGTTGTCTATTTTCTAGTTTTGCGAGAAAAGTCTGTCAGCGAATGACCCAATGGTGATCACATGGTTGCACCATCTATCTGTCTTTTACTAGGTGTCCGAAAGGGAATCTCCACTAAACTGCAGCCAAATTACGCTGTTATATATCATTTAGTTGGTCAACAGTCAAATCTCAGTACACTGAACTGGCAGTACTTGACACTAATTGATGAATAACTTAATACATGTATACAACTTACAACATTAACAGATAAACCGCAGAAACTGACAGTTATAACTAAATTCCTGAGTTATATATTTGGTTTTTCCTATCACTTACTTGGTTTTACACATTTGACATTTTAATATTGACCTTAGCTACTTTAGAATTTCAAGACTGTACAGAGAAAATAAAGGCTCTTTGAAAATTACATTGAACATTATTAACTCTTGTTTTAAAACACGTTCGAAATGCTATATTGTTTTAACTGCTGAAGGTGTTTTTATGTAAAATCACAAAGCGTAAAAGATGTTCATCTTTATCATAATTACCATTAATTAAATTCATAATTAATAAGAATACATGTAGTAGACTTAATAAAACTAAATAATGTGACATTGAAGCAGATATATGGAGCTATGAATAGTGAAATATTTGAGTGAGTTGAAGACTGGAAGTAAGCAACGCCCGTCGCGTTTTTTTAAAAAAAGTCGTTAAGTCGATAATAAGGTCAAATTAATTCTACAATTTTAAGCAAGTTATGTAGAAGAAATAATACTAAGTGTTTGAAATGTTTTGAAAAAACCTTGACGAGTCTTTCTCGGAATCCATCGCATGAAAATAAACTTTCTTTAAGCGACGAAAAGGGTGTCATTACTAGAAGACATGGGAAATATTTATGATAGATGTATGTAGCTTTGGCCAAGGCTTGTTGCAGTTATAATAAGTTTGCACTATTCTTAAAGTTTATAAATCTATATGCTGAATTTCTTAAGATCTCAACAAATAAATATCAAGTTACCGGAATAAAGCAACGATCTATACTGGAAATGATTATAGAATACTCACTTGTTGAATAATTTACCAACACGTTCTGAATGGCAATAAACTGTGTGAAACAACCATGAAAAACCAAGTGCAAGGATGGCGCTTGTAAAAAATACCTGAACAACCATTTTCTCTTGCCAATGTATATTTAAACCCGGATGAACTAGAAATGAGATACTCAAGATCAGAAAACAAACGAAACCTACAAAAAAGTCGGAAAAATTAGATGACACGTGTCAGGAAGTTGAGTTGATGTGTTAAAACCACCCAATGCACAAAAATGCAGATGCAAAAACCACATAGAATGGATATATCGTGAATATCACAAATATTTACATATTTCCGACAGGTATTATCATTAAGACTTTGAGTTTTAAAATATATGGAGCAAAATGTCAGCTTTACTGATTACTATTAAATACGACCTAAATATTAGCAAATGAAAGAATGATATATCTGTTTAATCAGTGATTACTGAGATCAGAGACTAATCAAACAGTGACGTAAATACTGGAAAATAACTAAAAACTTCATAGAGTTCATCGTTTGTATGTGGGCTGTGATACTGCCCGGGTGCCCAAACCGAAGCAGGTGGTTTTCTTAGGGGGCCACCCCCCGAGCCTTTGACCTAAAGGTTTAACCCACAAGGCAGTGGAGCATCGTAAGGAGATGCAGTCCCATGGTAGCCGGTGACCAACGATTGGTTCATACGCCATTCGTTCCCGCAGGATACTGGAGCCCATGTGCACCATTGATTTGGAATCCGGTTAAAGCGCCGGACTGTCCTGCCCTCCATGGCCGGTGACGACTGATCCACCAAATGAGGAGGAAGTCCGCAAGGAACTCCAACTCTTGAAGCGTTACAAATCACCTGGCCCAGATGACTTACCTCCGGCTCTTTTTAAAGATGGTGGTGACTTTTTGACTAAGGAATTGACGACGTTGTTCACAAAGGTTTGGGAACTAGAGAGTGTGCCAACGTCATGGAATGAGTCGATAGTTGTCCCTATCTTTAAAAAGGGTTCACGTCGTTCCTGTAACAACTACCGGGGGATAAGTTTACTTCCGATTGCGTCCAAGCTATTGGCTTCCGTCATACTTCGTAGGTTGTTCAAAACCCGAGAAAGATTGACTCGCGAGGAGCAGGCTGGGTTTCGTTCTGGTCGAGGATGTATTGATCATATCTTCACCCTCCGCCAAATGTTAGAACACCGCCATACTTTTCAAAGGCCAACAATCGTAGTGTTTCTTGACATCAGGGCTGCCTTCGATTCGTTGGATAGGACTGTTCTCTGGGATTGTCTATTGAAGAAGGGTGTGCCTGAGAAGTTTATTAACATCCTAAAAGCCCTGTATAAAAACACCTCAGGCAGAGTGAGGGCATACAACCACCTCTCTCCATTGTTCCATTCGAGCAGTGGGGTTAGGCAGGGTTGCCCAATCTCACCATTCCTCTTCAACTTTGCCATCGATGACATTCTGGAAACAGCTCTGATGAATGTAAGTAATGGTGGTGTGGATCTGTTGCCTGGAGAAAGACTTCTCGACCTTGAGTATGCGGACGATATTGTCTTACTGTGCGATAATGCCCAAGGCATGCAATCCGCATTTAATCAGTTGGCAATCAGTGTCCGTAGGTATGGTATGTGCTTTGCACCTTCGAAGTGCAAAGTACTTCTACAAGACTGGCAGGATTCTAATCCTGTACTCACCCTGGACGGTGAGCAGATAGACGTAGTTGAGAAGTTCGTGTATCTGGGTAGCTGCATAAGTGCTGGTGGGGGTGTGAGTGATGAGATCAATGCACGAATAGTGAAAGCCAGAGCGGCTTATGCCAATCTGGGCCACCTTTGGCGCCTTCGTGATGTTAGTCTGGCTGTAAAAGGCCGGATCTACAACGCGTCGGTGAGAGCAGTTCTGCTCTATGCTTGTGAAACCTGGCCTCTCCGAGTTGAGGACGTTAGACGACTCTCTGTGTTCGATCATCGCTGTCTCCGAAGGATTGCTGACATTCAGTGGCAACACCATGTCAGTAATGCAGAGGTTCGGCATCGTGTGTTCGGGCACAGAGATGATAACTCAATTGGTGTCACCATCTTGAAACACCGACTTCGGTGGCTTGGACATGTTCTCCGAATGTCGTCCCAGAGAATTCCACGTCGTGCATTATTTGCCGACTCTGGGACTGGTTGGAAGAAGCGGAGAGGTGGTCAGTGCATGACATGGTGTCGTGGCATGAAAGAAAGCTGCAAAGGACTGGCTTCTGTCGGTCCTTCACGACTCCCTGGTTGGGGTCCGAGAGATGGTGCTACACAGTGGCTAGAGACGTTATCAGATATGGCTCAGAATAGAAGCCAGTGGCGATCCTGCTGTAACCTTTTACTTTCTTCATAAAAAGTGGTTGTCTTCCTTAACTGAAAGATTTCTTCTGATTGTACCTCTTCGTCATTACTCTCCTTTTCTTTTGCGTTCCTTAGTTTTTTTTTTCTTTCTACTTCTCTTCGAATTCCCGTTGTTTTGTGTGGCGCATATATATTGGCGCTCTCTTGTACCAATATTTATGTGTTCAAATAAATAAATAAATAAATAACTAAAAACTTAATAATAGCAAACACAAAACAGTCCACACTCAAAATCTAATAAGGTAATGCTAAAGATGATATTGTCACTTAGTTTATTGAAAGACTGCCATCAATGAAATGAAATGTTCTCACATATGTATAAAGTGTCTGAAGTTTTTAAACATAATTGGGATCTAGCTATTGTTTGAAAGTATTTTAGAGCTTTTTGTTTGTTGACTTCAAAATAATGAATATATATTTGGTCACTTGGGTTATGTGAAGCCACTACTTAGACATCTTAATATAGTAAACAGTTAAAACCAGTTTTGATCCATCTAAAAGAAAAGATATATATCTTACGAAAAGAAGACCTCTGAATTTGAGTTTTCTAATAGTGTGACAGTTTGAGGCGGAAACGCAATGCAATCACCGAGACGATAAAGTAAAAACGGAATGAAATTCCACAAATTATTACACAGTGACAGAAATATATTACTTTAACTACGGAAATGTAAATGGCTCTCAGTCAAAAACTACACTTTCGGACTTATCTTGTAGACTGAAACATAAGAGCAGTAACAAAAAACCCAAGATGTTTTACATCCATTAACATGGGAACGTAGAACGCAAACACAACACAATGCCATCAAAGCAATAATGATGCCCAACAAGTTGTATTTATGACAGAGAACCTACACGTTGAGGTCTCAGCATATATCTGAAATATGTGGACTTTTAATGAATTAGAAGTCAAAAAATTAAGACTTACAAGGACCTCTACCTAATGCAAAATCTATACAGGTCTTAATGACACCATTATGATATTTCTCTAAAAAAAACATCCAGTGAGGCGTGTTACGAGTTATCAATAGGGCTCACAGTTCAAGGTTACGAGGAAGACCAACAAAAGTAACAGCACAGACAATCAATACAAACGTAATAGGTATGTATCGACAAGATTTGTTTCGTAAGTTGGAGTCAAAGTGGAATAAGATGGATGCAAATATTAACACACAAATCATTGACGATTTACCAATGAGATGTGTCCAAATATTTCCTGTTTCCGTATGAAGTCGGAAGATAGAACGGAAGCATTCACGAAATGATGGGAGTTGCGGACGGTGACCCCGGAGGATAAAATCGTTGTCTTTTAACCAGTGTGGTAAGCTATGGTGATGAACTACTCTCCACCCTTTTTTCCAAAGGTGAATAACCAACTCTTCTGCTTGTTCTACAGCCCTACTAGCAGCCTCTCCAATCTCATGAGCTGCGAACGTAAAGTAATCTCCACCATAACTAGCAGATCGACGATGTGCGCACAAGGGAGAGTGATTTGTTTTGGGAACAGTTAGTGACTGCAAGTCTGTAACAGACGAATTTAGATCCCAAGACGGTTGTGCTGTATATGCGTTGGTGGCCACATGGTTTGAAGAATCGCTGGGCAGGCAAAACTTCGGCAACTTTCGCCTCCTGACAGCAGACTGTGGCATCCAATCTGCATCTGTTTGATTTGAGATCAGAGGATCACAGAAAGATGAGGTGATACAGGCAGACCCCTCTGAACGCATCCGTCTATGTTTACCAAACGTGTTCTGCATATTATCCTATATAAAAAAAATTAGAAAACACTTCGAGTGATATTTACGTGTTGAGAAGAAACATGGTGAATATTATGCGACAAATAGTCCACTGGTCTAAAAGAACTCCCCATCATTGAATAGAAACACACGTAAAGCGCGCTCAATCAGCTGATTCTGGTTCAATGAACGGACTAAATAACATGATCCAACATAACAAATGAACAGTACAAGATCTTAAATAGCTCAAATAACGGTGAGGTTAATCTCATTAGGCTTTGTCTCGGATTTCTTTTTGCTTTATTTTCCAGTTTAGCTTGATATAGTCCTACAACAACTTAGGAAAAAAATCAAATGGAAGGTTTCAGCTTCATTTCGGAAAGGAAAGTAGTCTATGTGGTTTGTGTTAGTCCCATCGTTGGTGATCTGCCAGTTGATCCAACTCGTATTTGAAAGCTTCGTCAGATGGCGCTTCAGTCTCGTGTTGAATTAATGGATTCCATTCGTTGATAATTCGATGAGAAATTTGATAGTCATCCGACAAATAATTTGTTCTGAGTTTGTGAACATCTTCAGAGTGTCCTCATAATTACTCTGCTATTGCAGGGCATTTCAGATTCAATTTCATTATAAGGTCATTTAAAATTTTCTATCAAGTCACCTCTGGTCCTTCTATGTGACAAAGAAAATAGTTTACAGTTGAGCATCATACAGGAACTTCGCTATTCCGGAAATGAGCTTAGTTACGATTCTTTGAACCTTCTGCAACAGCTCGCTGTCTCTTTTTAGCCAGGATCTAGCCGTTTGAATGCGACACTCGAGTTTAGGAAGAAGGAACATTGCATACAAAGTCAAAAGGGTTTTAGCTCCAACACAGCTTAAAGGCCTACGTATCGACCATAGAGTTCTAAAATCTTTTACAACTATCGCACAGCAGTATAGAGAAGTTTTAAATCTTGACTAACTATGGCTCCTAAGTCATTATGTGTCTGAAAAACATGTAGACCAGTGCTACTCACGGTGTACGTATATGTACCTTGGTGACCAATATTCATCACGATGCACTTGAAAGTGTTTATCGGCAACGGCCAAATTTTAGACCAGTCAGATAATATCTCCAGATCATTTTGAAGTTCTAAACTATCACTCCTACTTTTTACCACTCTCCATATCTTGAAATCCTCAGCATATAACAAAAACTGATGATGGCTGGGAAGGTCATTTACATACAATAGGAACAACACTCCCACAAACTGCACCCTAAGGCACTCCACTAAGCACAGCTTCCCGGTTAGAGGACGTTGGGTTCATTTGAACTCTCTGTTGACACCCAACCAAAAAGTTTCAACATTATTTACGTTGCCTAAGTAATTTAAGAATACCTTAACTTTACCATAATGGTCCTGCTTTGATAATGAAGTACTTCTGTCTCCTCGTAGTGCTAGAATATTTCCTTTTCTCTTAGTCCTTTGGTTTATGCATCAGTATGGGCGTTTAATATACTTTAAAGACTCCTTGAAAAGTCTGTGCTCCTACAAATATTTAGACTTTCAGAAGATCGAAGCAGAATTATTTCGAGCTTCCTGGTTTTGAGATTTTGCTTCGTCGGCTCCCTGTAACGTAGATATTTTCCCCATTTCTCTCCTCATAATGAGAAGGGTTCGAACCTCTTTGCTTAACCACAGTGGAGAATTTCTCTAACTGTTTGGTATAGTCCAAGGGATGTGTGGTGCGATGACCGTAGGTGCACCAAAGTCTCCATTGATTAAAAGCCAACCACTTGAACCCATTTGGCAAGACCTAATTCATTTCACAGTATGAACTGAAGTAGACAGCTTTCGCTTTTTGTATTTCAAGTGGCAACTAACTACTTTACAACTCCCAACTTCATGGGATATTTTATCACTAACGGCAAGTAGAATATTTCTTATGAGCAGATCTGGAGAATAATGGTCTACTATGATATTTGTACTGCTCTGATGATAGATCTAATCCTAAAATTGTACACTTGTAATGATGTAACTGCATAATCTATAAGACCTTACGTGGAAGTCACATCACTGTCTATACTGACTCATTGTGTCATAACAATTACCAATATACGATAGGGAACACATCTCGGCAAGAGATAGAACAATATATTTAGTATGAATAAAAGGTATATAACAACACTATATGGTGATCACGCCTGCAATGCCGAGCCATGCCATCCAATCAATTCGAATTAATTCAATTCCTTCTTCCCGCCTTCTCCATTGTTAGGTTTTTCTCCGCGTTGAATATTGAATATCAAGTTTCCCAGTTGTCTGTTGCTCATCTTTGACCATTGTGTGGTTAGGGCCAATATCAATACAGATCTACTTATCCTCCTTTAAGCCTCTGGATTTTGTTGGCTATTGTGAAAACTTCGAAACATATTCACTACTGTCTAAAGACGGTGTCAGCTAAGTTTCGTTGAGTGTGATTACAAGCGACCTGATAGAGTCTGTCTATACACCTACCTCGATTAGCTTGCTGAGCAAGCTCCAAGCATTTGTGTCACAGACTCGAAGACCATATAAATTACTTCGTGTGCTAATGACTAAGTTTACTATATTGTAACGCAACTGCTTCCTTTACAAGTCTAGATGAAACGGGACTAAACTAGGATTTAAGAGGATATTCAGTGCTTTCTAGCTTGCTGCAATCCTTTACAAGGTCGTCTCTGAGTCGTCTATATCCTAAGTTTTAAAGATCACGATTTTAGGGCGTTTCTCGAGATGTGAAGGTAAATTATTCTGCCAACATAAAACAGATGTTGATGGAAATATCACGAAAGATATAAGTGGGATTGTTAGAGGCGGTAGACAACATCTTGAAGTAAGGGTAAAAGCCAGAATTCCACGACTTATCGAAGTTTCTGGAAAACATAGCGTGACTTACCACAAATACTTAGGGGCAACTGGCAAGTAGAAGCTACACATCTCAGACAAAATCAGTATGTAACTAATCCACGTCGATCCGAGCTAAGTACCATGCACTGTCGAGCCTTAATAAGAGCCATTATCAAGTCCATTCTGGTGTTCATGTGTCCTCGTTCAGTGCATGGATGTTGACAGAGGATCACAAGTGGGAAGATATACTGAAGAGGGCCAATTTGTGTTTTCATTGTTTAAAGCCTTATCACCTAGCGACAGGCTGTTCACTATCCATGAAGTGCCACATTGGTTGTCATAAACAACGGCATCACTAGCTTACCACAATACAGAGCCTGTGATTAAGCACACTTATTCAGCCACATTTACTAAACCGGAGCTTGCTTCTGATTTTTACCTCTTCAATTACCTGAACCTACGGAATGAGTGGATAAGTATGCTTTATTAGATAGGGTGTACGATACGATGCTACAATTAGGTGATGTAGCAAAGAAGGTGAGAACACTTGGAACAGCCGCCCAGTTAAATGTACCCCCATCAGTGGAACGTCCTGTTTTATATCGGTACTCATTTGTTTTAAGCTTGAATGATTATATAGGGCTAACCGAATAAAGAATAACAGAGCGTACATTGTTGATAACCTTCCTACTAAGATAGTAGAAATCCGACGGACCAATATACCTCAAGATGGTGACACTTGAGAGTTGGACAGCTACTTATTATAATACGTGAGGGAGTAAGGCTGTTGATCGAAGTTGCTGTTTCACAAGCTCACTGGGTTCTCGGTGAATGCTGAAGAAGCACTTAGCATTCAAATGCGTTGTCGAATATGCTAGGATGAACATTGTTCGGACCAGTACATTAAACTGTTTAGAGGTGAAAACATCGATCGAGAACAACATCATCAAGAGGTGTCACCATGGATTTTCGGAAAACTAACACTGATGGGATTGCCATGTCGTGGTTTGATAAAACGATTTTAGGGGTTACAGACAAACTGACAGAACTTTACAGCGACCATTGTCAAGTGTTGTAACTATGGAAGACGCAGCGGAGTTTGCTTACAGAGGATAAGTGCGAGACAGAAAAACTACCGAGCTATTGCGTGAAAGATTATTGAAAGACGAGCATCTTCTTAAGCAACCATCAGTTTGTCGGCCTTGAAAAACCATGAGTAAAATGGAGATATTGTTCTAACTAGGGTCATATGAAACTTTCACACTAAACAATCTTTCATTCACAAGTGCCAGGTTTCCCACGAATAAGTCCCTTGAGTCCTTTCACTTGGGAAGCTGAAGAGATAACATGTTCAGATAGACTAGATGTTGAGGGGTATTTCATGTCCAAGTCATAATATCTGCAAATCATAATGCAGACGAAAATATGTAAATATCGAGGGCAATAAAAGAAGTTTAAGGAAAATGGGAAAAACGAAGAAACGATGATTTATGAACTGCACGTAGTTGAGGGGTCTAACAAGCTTATAAACACGTAAGCACACGGAATCCCTCATAGTTACAACAATCATAAATACAGTCACTCATTATGACAGGCACTGAAGTACAATGAGTGAGCAAAACTAATCTAAGGCAGTCAGAGTGTGTGACTTTCTCACAATGGGAATACATTTTATGCCCCAGATATCAACATAAAGTGCATCAGCAAAAATTATCTTAATACCATTAACTTTGATATTAGGAGTATGCATACTGCCATCGAAACCCTTAAGCCGAATGCGAGATCTGGTGCTGATGACATCCAATTAATTCTTTATAAAACGTCAGGACCAGACATACAGACGCTACTATCCAAAATATTCACATTATCTTTATAGGCAGGTATATATCCCGAAACCTGGAAGGTAACATATGTTGTCCTCAAGCACAAATCAGGACAGAGAAACCTGGTCGAAAGCTACAGACCTATCAATATCACTCCATTTATAGCACGCATAACAGAAGAAGTAATGCAAAATCAACTATCAGATCACTTACTTAAGAAATATCTAATGGACCCATCAAAACACAGCTTCATTAAAACAGGGCCCTGCAGTACATTTCTGACAGAATTCTTTTATTATTATTATTATTATTATTATTATTATTATTATTAATTGCTTTATTCAATATTATCTTTTTGGTACAATATAGAATTCTCAGCACAAGGTTACTGGCACATGTGATCAAAATAAACTAGTAGTTATACCATAATTTGATATTCAGAAAGTACCTCGTAATCTTCTAATCAACAGACTTCAGTCAGTTGGAATTACAAACCCTCCATTTGCAATGGATCAAGTCTTTTCACACGAACAGAAACCAAATAACCAAAATGAAATCAAGAACGT